TTTCTGGCTTCAGGTTTTCATAGGGTAGGGACCATGATCATCATCAGCTTTGCATGCTGCCCCTGATTGCAGTAATTTGGGTTTCTGCTATTCCTCCACCTGTAACAGGGCAGCTCATCAGATGTGATTTCCTTGCAGCAGAGGTGCTTTCTATTGTGAAGTTTCAGATATCTGGTAGTCAGTGGGAACCCCACTAGCAAGTTGTCTGTGTGCTCAGATTATGTACACTGTGGCCATTGGTGTCTCATCTCCCTCTGTTTTGCACCCTGGCTCCAACCAGGCTCTCACATCTGATGTTTCTGGGAAGGCACCATCAGAAGTTTACTCACAGCCAGGTCTTTCATGTGAAACGTGCCAAGCTCCACATCTCGCTGAAGCTCTTGCAGAAGTGCCCAGGATAGGTTTTCTTGCAAAAACAGGAGAGAAAAACTTTTTTCATGCAGCTTAAGATATTCCATAATGCAGTCACTGCTGCACTCAAATAGCACCGAGGAGACTGTGCTCAGGACAGGCCATGGACTTGACCTCATGTCTTCCTCCGCCCCAGATGAGTCACCCAAAGTAGTAAAACAGGAGAGCTTTCTCCAGGGCATGAGATTTTCCCCTAGGAGAAAAAACCCAAACCATTCCTCTGTCATACTATTTTGGTGTATTCTGTGAGGCCAGGAACCATCAGGTGATGCTCTTGGGAAGGCCATGGCAACCAGGGTACCAGCATAAGCCAGAGGGGGGACTTTATCCTGCGTGACAATAAACCAGAGAGGAGAGCAAAAGCCCCTCCTTTGTCTCTCCCTTTATGGTATTGTCCTACAGATATCACATCCCCTTTGTGTTCAATGGGTTAAACTGTTGAAAACAAAAAGCCTTCCATATTTACTGGTGTAATCTAAAAATACCCCAGTTCTGCTGACAGCAAAAGCAAACACAGGCTCCCTGAGGCTTTCTTCCCTTGTCGAAAACAGCACGCGGTGCCCCGGCTGGCTGACGCTGCCCCAAGTGAGATGAGATGAGTTGAAAAGAGCAAGCTTGGCTTCCCATCCCCTCCCAGCCTTGCTGCGCATAGTGCCTTCACACTCTGCCCTAGAGCTGCTCCAGAAGGGTGAACCTCAGCTCCCACCCATCCCTCTGCCCAGCCCCTGGTACTTGCTGGTTCCGGGTGCCAGGTGGGCTGTATGGCTCGCCCAGGTCATTGCAATGGGCCCTGGTGCCCCATGAGGCTGAACAGACTTGCTAGGTGGCATAGGATGTCTTCTCTCCACCGCCTCCCCTCTGTCCCCAAAGAAGCTGTATTAATTCACGATTTATAATAAACCCAGATTTTACTGCATTTTAGGTATTTTTCATTGGGGAAGCTGCAAGAAATGCTGGGTATAATTTACTTAACTTGTGACATAGCTGTAGAGGCTTTTAGTTTACATCTGCTTGCAAAGTTAGCAGTTTGTGTTTGCTGGTAACACTCACAGCCTGAAACCTTTTTAGACAGCTGATTTATTTGGCCAACATCATCGCAGCTGCAGTCTGCCTACCAAGTTTATGATTTCTAGGCTATGGGTATTCAAGTGTCTGAACGCTTGGTGAGGAAGGGAGATGGTTCGGTGCCCCAGCTCTGATGCAGCCAGGCAGTATCAGCAGATACAGCTCGCTTGCCTTCCTCCTCCTCCTCCTCCTCTCTGCTTCCAGATGCAAACGCTTCCATATTCGGCAGTGTGTAACTATGATGGCTTAAGGGGAAAACATCTACCTTGGCAAATGCATTTAAGACTCTGTCTTCTGCTTCACATTTTTAAGCATGTGTGAACTATAGGAAAAATGCTTACATCTTATGTCTGCTGGCAGATCTCAAGTCTTGTACTTAAAAATGCCAACAACCTCCCAAAGATTAGCTAATCATAGTTAATAAAGAAAATGCACTGGCATTGGAAAATGAATTGGCTCCCGTGAATAGGAAAGTGGCCTGAAGGGGGAATCAGAAGCCAAGGTTCATGAGATTTTAATCTCAGCCTCTGTATCAATTCCCGGCCCAGGGAAGGACACTTAACTGCTCTGTTTGCTTTATTCCTTTCTGAATAGGACTAGACATTAGCTTAGTCACTGTGGTGTTTAGGGGATTAATTAGCTAATTCAGCACCTCACTTTAATGATGTAAAAATCTTAAAAGCTTCACTGGAAGGATTTGAAGCTGTAGCTTAAGAATTATTGCTCATTTATGACCTTTTTTGTAACACATCTTGGAAGAGTTAAAGGTAAGGCGAGAGGGGAAGATTTTCATTTTCATTTTAAAAAGAGACATGCATTTCCATTTGGCAAGATTTTGCATCCTGATGGGAAAATGTAAACACCCAGTCTCTGATCCTGCCTCAATCCATATTTAATCTCAGAGAGTGCTGTGGTGTAACTTTGCAGACAACAGTTTCAGGAAGCGTGGGGGAAGATTCCAGCCTTCCGTCTGCTTTGGAGAAACTATGAAGGAAAGAAAAGGTAGGTGAAGCGGGGCAGAGATCTCACATAATCCCCTGTGGAGGACACAAAAGGACAAAGTCACACAGCAAAAGTAACACAGACAAGTAATGGGAAGACTTATACAACGTCCTTTGGGATTAAAATGATTTCCACTTTTCCTCTGCGCAGACCCTTTTGTTTTGGTGGATAGGGGGGTGAAACCTTGCTTGTGAAAGCCGAGCAGTCAGAGGACAAAATCCGGGGGGATTTCTCACATGGGAGAAGATGCTCTCCCTCTCCCTGATGGTGATGCTGTGCCATAGGGTTGCCTCCCACCGCCCCAGCAGCGCTCACCCACTCCCCTTCGCCGGGGTACTGCTCCGTGGCTGCTCCGCACCCGGCTTCGGCGTGCGGCAAAGGGAGCGGGTGGGAGTACAAAATCAGTTTGAGCCAGCGGCAGGAATACGAGTGGGGTTTTAGGAGCTGGTGGAGTGTTAGGAAGATGCTGGAGTTGAAGCCTGCAGAGGATGGTGAGTTTAAAAATAGGCTGTAGCCAACCTTCCCCAGCATTTCAGCATCTCAACTGCCTGTTCTCCTTGTGACCCACTGAAGAAGAGGCAGCAATTCTTCCACCACCCTGGCAATGCAGGGCGAAATGATATTTTACTCCTAATGAGATCCTGCCACTCTGTCTGGTGAGGTCTTCTGGAAGTGTGTAAGCTGAGTGCTTCCTCCCTGCCTTCAGCCAAACCAAGGGAGTCCCTCCTTCCCCCAAGTTCAACAAGGCACTTCTGTGCATCAGAGATGAGCTCATTCATTCATATCTTACAGGTCGCTTGCAGCCTTCCATCCTTTGAAAGGGAAAAGGACAATTTTTGTAGAAAATTGAACATCATGCTGTAGGATTTTTAATTCTGGATATTCATCAAGGAAACCATTTCACAGAACTACATTATCCAGTAAAATTCATGTTACACCTTTGTACTTACCTTGGCAAAGATGTATCTATGCTAAAAAAAAAAAGCCAAACAAGACAATTCATAATGATAAGAGGTGTTGAAATGCACACTTAGATCAGGTGACTGAATCTTCCAGCCAACAGCTCGTACATTATAGGGGTCAGAAACAGTTTCTTTTGCCCTTTGCGAGCGCTGTGTGTTTCTGCAGGTTGGTTGTGGGGCAGACAAGGCTTCCCTGAGCTGCAGGTTTCAGCTAGCCATGGGCCCAGGACATCAGCTCCGAAATTCAGGAAGAATCTTTCTAAAGGCTGCTGCGGTGTATTTTTTATTCCCCCAGCTTTATCTTTCATACATCAGTGAGAACCTTCATCTGAATTGTTTTAGGAAGTCTGAAGGGTGTTTGCAATTTTTGCAAGTTGGTCTCAAGCAGAGCCAAGGGCTGCAACACCAGGTCTCCTGGCTCCAGCACTGGTTTAGCTGCTTCAGCTTTGTTAAAAACATGCTCTCAGGTAACAGTTTGTGACTGGGTAAAGCATTGTGCAAAGATGCTGTGCCTCGTTAACAGCCCTTTTTTTGTGCGTGCCCCTTCTAGAGCAGTATCGGTGAGTAGTAACAGACTGCCGGACATGCCAGAGCCCTACAGCTTTCTAGAACCAGTCCTGCTCTAACTCTGAGTGCAGTTTTCCCTTTTACAGCTTCTGTGGAGTGAATATTCTCCCCAAGAGAGAGCCACCAGGCAGAAAAAAAAGGTGGACTGGTATCTCCACAAACACACAGCATTCCCTTGTAAACTGCCTACAGTGCATAAGTGGTTACTGGGGCGGAGGGGAGGGGGGAGAGGGGGAAGGAGCCAAAACTCAGAGTGTTTTTTCTTTCCTGGTTTTCAAGTTTACATATTGGTGTAATTCAATGAGAGACAGTAGTGTGTTTGAGTGAGATATGGCTATGCCTCCATTTCATAGAATGGTTTATGTTGGAAGGAACCTTAAAGATCATCTAGTTCCAACCCCCCTGCCATGGGCAGGGACACCTCCCACTAGACCAGGTTGCTCAAAGGCCCACCCAACCTGGCCTTGAACACCTCCAGGGACGGGGCATCCACAGCTTCCCTGGGCAACCTGTTCCAGTGCCTCACCACCCTCATTGTGAAAAATTTCTTCCTAATATCTAATCTAAATCTACCCTCTTCCAGTTTGAAGCCATTATACCTAGTCCTATCGTTACATGCCCTTGTAAAAAGTCCCCCTCCGACTTTCTTGTAGGCCCCCTTCAGATATTGGAAGGCCACTATAAGGTCTCCCCAGAGTCTTCTCTTCTCTAGGCTGAACAACCCCAACTCTCTCAGCATGTCTTCATAGGAGGGATGCTCTAACCCTCTGATGATCTTCGTGGCCCTCCTCTGGACCCACTCCAACAAGTCCATTTCCTTCTTATGTTGGGGGCTCCAGAGATTACATCTGTCCTCTTGTAAAGTGTTTCCAGCTTTTCAGCGTTGCAGTGAGAGCACAAGAAGTGGAATGCTATGAGAAGTGAGCCCAAGGGAAGGAATTTGGCAGAAAGCTGTGGTCTTCACTGGTCATTTTGTTGCTGCTCTCTCCCTAGGAACATTTGTATCTGCTTTCACCGTGCTATGTGGAGCCCGAACTGACCTCCCCGACAGGCACATGTGTTGTGTCTTCTGGCTGAACATTGCCGCTGCTCTGATTCAGATCCTGACGGCGATCGTGATGGTTGGCTGGATTATGAGTATATTTTGGGGGATGGACATGGTCATTCTCGCAAGTAAGTACAATGCACTCT